TTGCTGCTGCCTTTCTGATCAATAATACATGTTTTCAAAAAGCCTTCTGTTTGCATTTACACAATGGACTGTAACTACTGCAAAGGATCCATTAAGACCTATTTTAAAAAGTGCATTCGTAAAAAGTTGTCTAAATCTGCATTACAAGGCAGATTATGAAACTGCCTTGGGAGATGTTTTTTCTAAAAGGCATTCAAGCCATATCTGCTGGACTTGCCAACTGACTCCCCAGCTCTCTCATGGTTTGCTTGCAAACCAAGAAGGTTCTTTCCATGGCTCCAGATGATGACTTAGGCACTGTCAGGCTTGAGGTCCCATTTCACTCTACATAGGTCAGCTGTGCCTCTGGGTTGGGACACAGTGTGAGCAGTCTCCAGAAGCCTGGGTGGTGCAGGCATGAATCAACCTACCACTTCTGACTGTATAATTACAGTTAGCTAAGTAACCCCTGCAGCAAAGTGGGCTCTTGGATTCTGAAGCTCTCTCTCCTTCCAGTCCTGAGAAGACCATGGGCTAAATGGGGAGGGCTGGAAGCCTGTGACCAAGTCTTTGGTTTGGGCAGGCCAGGCTTATGTTTGGCATAGAGGTATGAGTTGTTACACGTGCAGGTGGGAAGGCCAGAGGAGAGGAAGCAGTTTGGGTTTAGAAGCCACCTGACTTTCTGTGCTGCCTTAACAATATACACTGACTTCTGTGGCCTGATGATTTCAGCTTCTATAGCTGGTAGAAATAAATGATAATAAAAGTACGGCTTATATGTACTTCCATGGGGCCCTGTCTGAGGGTTCTGTGCAGATGGAAAGGCTTGATCCTTGGACAACCTGGGAAGAAGGAATTGTACTTTCCCACTGAGACCCTGAGACCCTATGGCTGGACTAGCCAACTGAGCCCCTGCCAAGGTCACAATTCAGAGCCACCTGCAAGTTTCACAACATACTCCTGCCCCAAGCCTATCCCCCAGTTTCCTAGATATGAGAAAATCCTGGGAGAGGAATGATAAAAAAAAATTCTCAATGTGCTCACACATTCAGTGTCTATGAGTCCATCTATACATCACTGGATTTTATCCTCAAAACAATACTACTTGGCAGTTACCGAATTGTTATTCCCATGTTACAGATGAAGAAACTGCAGCCCAGAAGGTCCTATAGAAGCTGCTGAATGACGTAGCCAGCCTGGTTCTTGTGCTGGGTGAAAGAAATGAAAACAATATTCTTCTAGGAGAAGCAGGTAGGAAGAAAGGAAAGAAGGAGAAAGGAAAGTAGAAGAAATTTAAAAGAGTAACCCCAGTACAGAAGGGGTTCATAGAAGGGTAAACCAGGCAAAGAGATGAGGACAGAGAGCTGGATGGAGGTGGACTCTGTCTAGACCCACAGGCCCACTGATGGACAGGAACACCCTTTGTTCAGGACCCAGAGCCTAAGGCCTTGGGCATCCTACCCATGTCAGGCCCCAGAGAGGGTGCAAGGAAAGTTTTTTTCATAGGCCAGGCTCAGGCCCTGTCTGCAAATGGCCCCCATGGGCACCTGAGGCAGGAAGGCTGGTGGAACCTCCACAGAGTCAGTCACACCGGTAAGCCCAAACCTAGTGTACTGTCTGTTTGTTAATGGGGATAGATTATGTGAAAAGGAGGGTGGCCTGGCCAAGGACCCCCTGCTGGGGTAACCTCAAAGCCAAATTACAGGCAATGGCTTTCTTCTTGCTGCTGTCCTTGAAGGGCATCAATAGCAGGGCTAGGAAGGCAAACCATGGGGGAGCAATAGACTTGCCCCCTACCTTGACACCCCATGAGATTGTAGAGTGCAGTGGTAGGCAAAAGTGGGAAACTGGGTCACTCAGCAATTCATTAACAGTGTTCATGGTCAGCCTCAGAGTCTGTGCTTCTAACCACTATGTCACGCTGCCTGCAGGAGACTTAGACCCCTGCCTATGCCCACTCTGAGAGGGCTTGGTCAGAAGTTCTAGGAATACCCCTAGCATTCCAATGCCTCCATGGCTGGGTCAGCTCTTGGGTTTGTTTCCTCCCCTTTATAAGATCACTAGGGTTGGCATTTTCTGACACTGTGCTTGGCCTTCTTTATGCCTCTGGAACCCCCTATGCCTCCTGGTCCATGGTCCCATAACATCCTGCTCTGTCTCCCACCCCAGCAGCAGCTCCTCCCTACCAGGGCATCTGTGTCCACACTAAGCTTGACTTCCTGCTCCCTGGCCAGTGCTGTTTGGGAGTCAGGCCTGCGAGCTCCAGATGCACCTCACCTGCTCAAAAGCCATGAATGAACCTCACATTCCCACCGGCTGTGGGAAGACCATGTGAACTGCCCACCCACTGATTCGTCGGAGCCACCAGAGGAGAAATACTAGCTTAGCCCCCATTAGGAAATCAATAAAACGGAGGCTCAGAGAGGTTAAGCAACTTGTGCAAAGTTACCCATTTTAAGGGCAAGTCCAAATAGGTCTGATCACTCCAAAGCAAAAACCTGCATCAGAACCTCTTAAGAAACTTTTTTAAAAAGATGTAGATTTGGGGCTGGAGTATATGGCTGGGAGGTGGCCACTTCCTAGAATGTGTGAAGCCCTGAGTTCAGTTCCTAGCAGCATGCACAAATTTTTAAAAATGGATTTTTATGGAGGCATATACATAGGAATCTACGTACTTATAAAAGTTGCCCTGGGGGTAGAGCCTAGTACCTACCACATTGTGGTGTGCCTTCGTCTAGCTCCTAGAACAGAGGGTTGGGGCAAGGACACCAAGGCCAAGTACCAGGGAGGGCTGGGCAAAACAATGGCTATGATCTTCTGAGCATTTACTGTGTGCTAGCATAGGGCTTCACCCTCACATGGACTCCCCCCTTTTATCTTCACTCCTCCCTCTGACAGAGATATGTTTACTAGAGGAAACTGAGACTCAGAGAAAGTTGATTACAAGGCATCAAGAAAGGGAGTTGAAGCCTCTTGCAGACCTCTCTTTTCCCCAAGATGAAAGGGAGCAAAAGATGGGGCTTCCTAGATAATCACAGGTTGGGACCTTTGGATTCTACATTAGCACAGCCTCTACCTCCCATCATTGGACCACAGGGCATTGCATCCATTTCTTCTCTGCTAAGTGAGGCAGCTCCCTCCTGCTGCCCTGAGTTTCTAGACCTTGAATGAATGCCCTAGGTCCAGTGAGGACTGAGTCACCCTCTCCCTAAGGTCTCTATGATCAGGAGACCCAGAGTTTCCTGTCTGCCCTCTACTGGATGATTCCCTCTCTGGTCAAGGCCCCTGGACAAGCCTGTGGGGAAAGGTATGCCCCAAATGCATATGTGCCCAAGGGCTCATATGGAAGTCTCTCCCCTTCCCAGGGCAACAGTCCCACTATGATGTCATGTGTTCATTCAGGACCCCCAAGAGTGAGGGTAGGGAGAGGGTGAAGACCTGAGGGAGGCCAGGCAAGCCCTTGAGACAGTCACAGAACCAACTAACCACCCTCTGGGAGGTGTGGAAGTGAGGCTATAAGCAGGTGAGTCGAGCCATCCACTTCACTCTGCATTCTCCTAGGAGGCAGCCACAGAAAGCCAGTTGTAGAGAGTACCCCAGCACTTCCCTGGTCACAGGCCTCAGTGTACAGCCCTGGTAGCCAATAGCTCCAGAGATGGGAACTGTCGGCATCCTAGAGAACTTCCCGTGGACAACTCTAGCTCCATAAGTCTAAAGGCCCAGAGCCCTAAAGGTATATGGCAGATAGAATAAGGTCCAGTGTCTGCAAGGTAGCTCTCCTGGGCTGGCAGACCTGTGAAGTGGTAGCCCACCCATCAGCAGGCAGACTGTGGATATCTTGGCCCAGCCCCAAGTCAGCCTCTGTCTTGGCAGCTCCTCCTTCTGCCTGCCAGAGTGACTTCACTTTGACTTCATATCTGCAGAGTGATGTGCAGATCGCTTATTCAGCCCTGAGCTCAGCCAGGGATGAGGGTGGGGCTCTGCACACAGCAGAAGACAGCTTGTTCAGGGGCACCCTTGGCCCAGGGTTCTGGACTTGCACACCACAAGGCCCCATTGGCTTCCATTCCTCTATCCCTCTGCACCTAGGTGGAAGCCAGACCTCAAAATGAAGGTGCAGGTTGGGTGAGAATGATGGACCTTCCCTAGAGGCCCCAAATCCACATACAACCTCACTCCAAGACCTTCCATTTAGGGTACAGAGGCTTCCTCTGTAAATCTATGGGCATCATTTCTTTGAGGAGGGGAACTCAATTCTGGGCTCCTGCTACCCACTTTCCTACTCTGTCTGTCCTACATCCTCAGAGTTGTTCTATTTAGAGGAGGACAGGGCACCCACCAAGCACCCCAGTGTCAGATCTCTTTGAAAGGTGTGCCTGAGCCAGTTTCCTGGTCCCATTGGTTAGATCAGACCTAGGGTTCACAAACTAGACCTAGGGGACCCCCACTCTTTCCACCAGAAAATATTGTAAACTAGAAGACTACTCTCCCGCTTTCCTTTCTCTCCCAGTTTCCTCCACTCCTTATGCCTCTGGCCCCAGAAGAGGCCAAGCTCACACCGCGCATCCTTCCTCTGAGAAATGGCGGAGGATGCGCTCCAAGACCAGAGCCTGGGAGAAGGGCTCCGGCCTAATCTCTAAGACTGTTTGGGCGCACCGGCAGCCAGTCAGCCAGACCCTGCATTCCCACGTGGCTTCTCTGCCTTCTCTGGGCGGCCAGAAAGGGCGAAACTCAAGGACCACAAGCAGGCAGACAGATGAGAAAGTGGATGTACATTTGCATGTTCGTGGATCCAGGAGACGGAGAGCCGACCCGCACCGCACCCCATTCCGCAAGCGCCCGGTTCTCCCAGGCGCCGGGCCAGGGTTGCACAGCACGTCCCATATCCGACTCCTACCGGTGCCCCGCCTGCACCCCGCACTGACCCCAACTATACCCGGAGCCCCGCCCCTAACCCGCACCCTGGCCCCGCCCGGCCCGCTCCCCTCCCAACCCGCGCGCCGCCCCGCCCCTGCCCGCTGCTCGGGCTCAGCCCGCGACAGCCTTGCCTCAGTCCTGGGAGCGGAGCCCAGAGCGCAGCAGCCGAGGGCGCCTCGGAGTCCGCGCCCAGGGTCCCGCCCCGACGCACCGCGCCCGCAGTGTCCACTGTGCCCGCTGCTTCACGGACTGGCATGGAGCGGCCGGGTTGAGCGCCGCACCTCACCGCCAAGACCCGCCACTCTCCAGGCGCGGCCCCTGAGCGCACCGGCGATGGCGAAGGCGACGTCCGGCGCCGCGGGGCTGCGGCTGTTGCTGCTGCTACCGCTGCTGGGCGAAGGTGAGTCTTAGCTGGCGTCCTCGGCGGCTGGGCTGAAGTTAGCGCTGCGCGCTGAGCGGCGGAGGGGACGCTTTCAGAACCGCGTTTGTTGGCGGCGGGCAATGGGCAGCAGGTTGCGCGGTGGCTGGTCGGTCGGCCTCAACTGGGAGTGAGGTGGCGATGGCCGGAGGCGGGCAGAGCGCCGCGGGCTCAGTGCTGGGCGGGTCTTGGCGGGGAGAGCGGGACGCGGGCGGGTCGGCGAGGGGTCGGTGTCCAGAGCCCCAGCAGCAGCCGTGCGTCTTAGGCTGGTCTTGCTTCCAGCCGCAGCTACGTCTTGGAGCAAAGCGGACGGACCATTCAGGCATTTGGGCACAGACAGGAGCTAATGGGTCAGGTAGCCACAAGATGCTTGCGACCTGCGCAGGGAGTTCTATTTCTGCAGAAGATCACTGTGTCCTGGTTTTCTTTTCGCGCTTCACTTCCGTGCATTCTCCTCCAGCTCTGTTGTCCCAGCTGGCTGAGTGGAGCAGAGGCTCTTTCATAGAAGATTGCTTTTCTCTTGTATTTTTGTTGCCCGCGTCTTTAAAATCCGAAAAGCCTATGGTTTCTGGGTTGTCTTCCCCCTGAGGGCCCTCGGTGGCCCGAGCCCCACCCGGCAACCAACAGACTGCTGCGCCGCTGGCCTAGACTTACCTAGAGGGGCGGTTTTTGAGCTATAGGACGACTCAGAGCGCTTCCGACCATCTTGTGGTATATGCGCTGTAGGATCCCAGTATTAGGTGTGGCCTTGGAAATGTTGGTCACTGCCCCCACTGCCAGCCTCAGACATAATGAACAACAAGGCTGAAGAACTATTGACCGACTGTCTTGGCTGCACATTTTAGAGTCCCTCAAACTCGTCCTAACTTGACCCTCTCCTAGAGTACTTAACATAGGCACCAAGCATCAAGTTTTCCTAGGAGAGGGAAAGAGCCCCGGCTACCCTCCCCCACTCCTTACAAAAGGAGGCTTTGGAAACGGAAGTCCAGTCACCCTGCTTCTATCCCCAGGTCCTGCACAGACTTTATATTCACAGACCTTCCCAAGGTTTCATTTGTGGTTCTGGTTCCCCAGCACAACAGAGACTGGGGCAGAATGGGTGCATGGTAGAAGAGAAGGCAGGGGAGAAGCCAGTTCCTTTCATTGGGGAAGAATGGAAATGGGGAGACTATTTCTAGGTTTGGGACTGTGGGGTCACAGTCATCAAGGGGGAGGCAGGCAGGAGGCTGTGCGCAGGACAAAAGTAAACACAAAAGTTAACACCCGAGTTCTAAAGCTATCCTGTGACTTTGGGTTGCAATTTTGCAATGTGGGTGTGTGGTTAGTTTTTGGGAAGCTCATGTGCTGGGCAACCTCCCCATGCCCTTCCAGCCTTAGCTGGGTGTCCACCAAGTCCTTAGGGACCAGGCAGGGGTGGGGTGGGTCTGGCCTGTGGCACTTGTGGGATGGCAGGTACCTTCTGTTCCAAGAAACCTGACCTTTGAGCTAGGTAATCACAGTCATCCTCCCCAATCCAAGGAACATAAGTCCCTGTCACCCACCACCTCCCCAGGGATGATCAAGAAACCAGGATTAGCGGCACTGGGGGTAGAATGGCAGCCCTGCATCCAAGAGGAGACAATTGGATCCTTTGGAGAGGCCTTCAAGGGCTCTTAATCAGAAGCAGCAGCTGTGGGGCTGCAGAGCTTTGCTCTCTTGGAGCTGCTCTAGGCTGCTACTAGGGAGCCCCCACGGCTCACTGGGCACACACAGAGGGGGAGCAGCTTGGCCTCCATCGCCCTCTTGTGGAAGCAATGGTCTAATGGCCCTGCCTGTTGCTCAGGAAATGGGCTGGGTCTCTATAGAGGTGATGGGCCTTCCTTAGCTTACATTCACACTCACTTATGGTCATCACCAAGTCACACTGCACCCTTTCTAATGAAGACATGCTCATGAGATTTGTAGACGTGTACTCTCACACATTGTGGCCTTGCTCCTTACACCCCCACCCTCAAGCAGGTACCCCTGGAGACCCAGCCCCTCTCCACCTACTCTTATGTACTAGGATCTCATATGTACACCTAAGGACACACACCCCTCACCTCCTCATATACTTGGACACTACCTATCATCCCCAGTTTCCCTGGAACTAGAGTTGAGGAACCTCCTCTAAAAGTTATTTGAAGCTTTGGGCTTTTCTATGCTCAGCACAGCTACAGCTGCATCCATTGCATGGAAAAGGACATGAGTCCTGGCGTCTGGGGCTCCCTCTGCATGTCCCAGGCTGACCCACTTCTGCCCTCCCACAGCTTCTCAGCAAGTGTCTTGCCCCTCCTCTTCCTGGCCTGACTTCTTGGATCCTTCAGAGTGAGCACCCAGGGACACAGCTTTATTTCATTTTTCCTTTACATCCTCCCCTGTCTTTGGCCAGTGAAGACTTGTACTGCCTTACCGGGATTACCTGAGCCATGACCTATCTCCCCCATCCCAGCCACTGAGCCCCTCTGGTCTCAAGGAGCTGCCTGCACCCCTCACTCTGGAATAGGCCAGCTGGTGGGTTCATGAGGGCGGAGCCTGAAAGCAGATAGCAAATGGGAAAGTTTATTGAGTCCGTTCACTAAATTGCCTTTATTCTGTAGAATTGCTTTAGGGACTAGCTAAGTAAATCACTGTTTCCTTGGTGGTGTGAAGAAAATGGGAAGCATTCACGTAATGGGGCGCTAATGGCCTTTTAGCCAGGGGAGGAGAAAACTAATTTAAATTATGGTATCTGTTGAAATGGGAGTCCGGGGTGCCAAAGGGATGGGAGGCCCGGAAGCCACCACTTCCCCTGGGGCCTTCCTTTCTCTGCAGCCTAATAGAGGACCCTCTAGGTCCTCTTGCCTTCACTGGGGAAGGGTGAGGCCAGCAACAGACTCTCTATTGGGGGCTCACAGCATGCTGACCGTTGGCATCATACTACCAGTTTATTAGCTCACTTTATTTTCCTGACACCCTACCAGGGCTTTTGTTTTGTTTTCCCATTTCACAGATGAGGAAACTGAGGATGCCCCAGTCTATGGACTCTGGAGCCCATGGAGAGCACAGAAGGATTCTTCCACCCCTAGTCCTCTACTTTTCAGCAAGCCCCTTCTCAGGCCATTGGTTGTGGTGGGTACCAGGGTGGAGCTGAGGTGGGGTCCTTGGAGAAGAAGTGACTCTGCACCTAATCACCCACTCTTCAGGGCTCTGGGTATCCTGGGGACATCCTGGCCCAGATCTCAGTGTGACATGTGACACTGTGCTCACACACCTAAGCAGGGCCCCCTCTGGATCTCAGCAGAGTTCTTAAAGGGGCATTGCTTTCTTTGATGTCAGGGTCTGTTTAACTGGGAATCAGTACCAGGCATGGTCCTATAAGAGCCAGCCCAGAGAAAGACAATATGTGCTTTGGCCATGACAGGAAAATATCTATATACTAACTGGTGCAGCCATGTGGCCAGGATACCCAGAATGTGGTCCTTGCACCCCTCATCTGCCTGGGCATCAAGCATCTGATAGAGCTGCTATGCTGAGGACAGGGATAGAAGGACAAGAGGACTAGGCTTCAGGGGGTAGAAGACTGGGGACAGACTGGGAGAAGGACGCACCCAATGGGTACCCAGGAAGCAAGGGCAGAGTTGAAGAGGCAATCCACCTCTCCCCTCGTGTGGCACTTCCTTCCATCCTCGGGCAAGTGGCCCTGTTTGCACTGTAGAATTCCCTTCCTGTGGGGATGGAGGAGGAGTCCTCCTGGTGCCGGGGCTGTACCTCCCTTCCCTCCAGGTCCTATCAGTCTGAAGATCTCAGTTCTTTTCCATTTCTGCTGTGCTCTCCTCCTCTTTCTCATTTCCACAATTGTTTTCTTGTGCAAGTGACTTAATAGTAACAATCATGTAACAATGATCAGCAGGTGAATTCCCCCCAAAGAGGAAGTACACTGTGCTCAGGGCTTTTCCACTGCTGTGGATGCATTTGGGGAGACCAGCAGAAGGGCCCCTTGAGTTGATATGTTGTTGCTTCTCATGAAGAGAAATGTAAAGTAAATCCTAAGCAGTTAACTTGTGTGTGTGTGTGTGTGTGTGTGTG